GGATGTGGTGCTGATATAATGAAAACATTTATTTTTGTTGCGTCTCTTCAGAGCACAACTTTTGGATGGGTCGCTTTTCCGAATATTTTTTTTACCGCCAGAGAAAAGGGGAAAGGTATGAGGCTGAAACTGGGTGGCATGGAATTCCCTGATTCTATGTTTCAGAATAAAAAAAAATTCGTTAAAATCCATCAGGGCACTCTTTTAAAGTCCTATTTTCCTGAATTTTTTTGATCCAACGAAAAGGAAAATTTAAACTTCCCTCACAAGTACATGTTTGATGGCTGAGTACAGGAAAAATCCTACTTCTGAAATATGTCCCCATAGCGTAGATTATATGAGGCGTAGATTATATGAGTATTTGAAAATGTATTCTCCACCCTTACAAAAAGGGTCACAAGATTTCAAGTTAGGCACACGAGAAATAATAGAAGTAATGATTTTGATAAAAATGAAGACTTTCGTTCCCATATGTCACACATTTCAATGGGGACGCACTGCAAATACGTGTTTGCCATTTCGCAAAGAATAAATGAATTAATCACTATCCAAGGTAATGGAGCGCCGAAAGCGCGAACCTAACGAGTTTGCTTGCCCGAAGGACAAACAAACTCGCTAGTTTAGCATGTTCGTCTTTTAACAATTCCTTACATGATCCCACGTCGTTAGATTCTGGAGGAGGAATTTGAAGCAACTACCGGTGACGTACTGTGCTTACCAAAGACGAGCGATGACGTTCAGCAGCAGCAGAGCGGGAAAGAAGACTTGGATTGGTCTTGTAGCGAGTGATTGCAACCGTGCTAAGTTCTCGGTCGGTGCAGGTTTATATACCTCGCAGGACGGACCTGGCTGCTCGTACCATGATCGTCTTTTCTTTCTCCTTCCAAAGGTAGATAAAGACTCTCCTCTCTCCGGAAGAGAATATTAACGCGATTGAAGGACAGCTTGATTGCGGGTCTGACGTCGATTGTTCCGGTGAACGCCATCGTGCTTCAAGGCTTTTTCGACATCATTGGGTTTTTGGGAGGACCTGCTGGAACTGTTGATTTGTTGTCATGAAAGGGAAAAACGAGCGGAAAAGCTGAAAGAAAACGCATTTGCATGCATCACTTATTCAGCAAGCGCACGCGAGCGATGTGCTTGCTGAATAAGCAATGCATGCAAATGCACTCTTTTCTTGTATTCCATCTTCAATGACTGGTGGCCGAAGGTCCTTTCGGTTTGTGGGTGGTTGTTTTCTGTCACGATTGTCGTTATATTCATATTTCCGGGGATTGACACATTTCAGCCCAAACAAAGCATTCCCCCCTCGTTTACCAACAACGTTTTTTTCACCTAATATTTACCTGAAGGGTCTTCTGACAGCTTGAGAGTGGGAAAAAAATAAGGGGAAATAGGTTTTTTTCTTCCGATTCTCACAGAGTATGTGTGTGTGTGCGTGTGGTGTGTGGGTGGTCCAACTTTTATTTTCTCATGTCCAAGTCTCATTTTCTACATATCCCAAAATAAAATTCCACAAAATTTTAAATCTCAATCGGTTGATATTTAGTGCTAGCTCAAGGAACTTCAAGTTTCAGGACATTCGCTTTCATGGTAGAAAAGGTATTTACAGCTTAACGTTACATCTATAGTTTTGTTGGTTGATGCAACATTATTCAACCCACCCGTCTTAGAGGACGTACTAGCACGCGTCTTCCCATGTCCTTCCGCCTATGGACCAGAAATGGAAAGACTTGTAGCCCTCGAGGGTCAGGCTACTAGTAATATAGAATGATTTGTCAGATTGGCCGTAAAGTCCCTTGATAAAAGTCTGTGAATGCAGCTCATCTTTATTTTCCCCCTCAAATTATTGCAAAAATGAATGAAAAACGAAGTGGCCGGGTTCAGAAGATCTGAATTAACTCAGAAATATGGCTCCTAGGACATCCTTTGAGTGAGATTCCGGGAGCTAAATTACCATCAAAGTTGGAACTACTTCAACTTTTCTTCCACCTCCATCTTCAAAAACCACCCAGGAGAGTGCGACAGAAACTGTTCGAAAAGTCTTGAACTTTGGGAAAAGTGCAAGAATACCAAGAACTCAAGAACAGAATGCCAACAAGAACAAAAAGTTGAAAAAGAATATGCAAGAAAATTCAGAAAATGAAAAGAACAATGAAAGTGATTTCATGTCAGAAATGAAGTCCCTGTTCGATATTGTTCGTGAAGATTCCATGGAAATGATAAAAATTGATGAGGACAAAGAGATCTTGAACCAACAAAGAGATGGAAGGAAAGGGTACCTGAGTTCGGTTGATCATCAACATGCAAGGAAAGAAGAGAGACAATTGAAGAGGAAAGCTGATGAACACAATAAATATGAAGGATAAATTTTCAAAACCTGAACCAGCTGAATTCGCTCCTGATATTGATACTTCTTTTTCACTCAGCGAAGAAGACAAATATTTCATTGCTCCGAAGCATTGTAAAAATAATTCGGACATGAGAAAAGGGAAGAGCTTCAAGAAAAAAATCGAGATTCTATCGCCACAGTTAACTGCAACTTTGGACTGAGTCAAAGTGTCAGATCGTGAAGCCGCCTTTGCTATTGCAGCAACTGCACAAGAACTAGGTCATGACATCGACAACATTTCAATATCAAGAAGCACTTTGCGAAGGATGAGGTTTCAAAATCAGAAAGAGACAGCTGAACAAGTGAGAACGGATTACAAACCAAATTGTCCTCTTGCTGTGCATTGGGATGCAAAACTGATGACTGATCTGGCGACTCAAGAGGTTGTCGATCATCTACCCATATTAGTCACAGGATTAGGAACTGAGCAACTTAATGGTGTTCCGTAGTTCCCCAATGGAACCGGAGAAGCGATGGCCCAAGCGACAATGACAGCGTTAACTGAATGGGGAGTTGAAGAACTCCTGAAGGGGATGTGCTTTGATACAACGTCAAGCAACACTGGTATTCATCGTGGAGCTTGCTCTTTGTTGGAAAATAAGTTGAGCCGAAACCTTCTTTGGCTAGCATGTCGACATCATATTCATGAAGTCATCATTGGAGAGGTTTTCAATATTTGCTTTGGAGCCACAAATGGACCAAATGTGCCACTCTTCAAACGATTCCGAAAGAAATGGAATTCCATGGCCAAGAAGTCATTCAAAGTTCCAATAAACTTGAAAAAAAAAAAGATTTTGAAAATGAACTGAGAACTAAAGCTCTGGAATATGCCAGAACGATCCTCCAGTGCAATGAAAGACAACCGTGTGATGACTACAGGGTATTTCTTGATCTCACATTGATCTTTCTCGGGGAAACTCCTCTCAGCGAAGTGGCATTCCTTGCTCCTGGAGCATTTCATCACGCACGATGGACGTCTAAGGTGATCTACTGCCTGAAAATCTTCCTCTTCAAAGACCAATTCAAACTCGCATCCTGCGAAGAGAAAGCTATGCTGGACTTAAACAAGTTCAGCACATTAGGTTACATGAAAGTCTGGTTTTCGTGTATGAATCCCGCATCAGCCCCATTAAGAAATTTAACTAATAAGCAGGCAAAATTTTTTTCACAGCAGGCTTCTCCATGCTCTGTCCGTGCAAAAAGGGCGGCAGACTGAGCCGTCACTGCGAGATGCGAGTGGCCGAAAGGACCGATTGACAATTTCCGAATCGTTAAAATTACTCAACCCGAATCAATTTTAATTCCGGAGTCAGAAAACAATTTCCTCGGCGGAGTTTGTCACGAAATATTTTTCCCTTATTCAGAATTCATTCGTTTTAATCGATTCGATCTCCTGCTCTGATAGGATCTTGAAGGAAACGCAATCCATTAGCATTCGGGGACTATGGAGACAGGAAGGAAAAAAGTTCGCCTGTAATTGCTCCAACTACAAATATTTCAAGTACGATTTGAGAAACCGCAATGCCAGTTGCATATTTATTTGAAATCCATGTTACCAAATTGTCATTTACTGCAAATTTTAAAATGTGGAACAGGTCAAATAATTTCACAGAAACTTAATGGATTTACCATAATAAAAATGTAACTGACATGAACAACAACAACTATCACTACCTTGACATTCTGGTTTTCATTTAAAAGTTCATTTTCGGTAAGTCATGGACGGCTTCAACACGAATACAATATTTGTTACACCAAATTTCGTTTCGAAATATTTCAGAGCATTTAATAGGGCAGGAAAAAATGGATCTTGAGTTATTCATGAGTTTATTCCATATTTCCAGATTCAAGATTCAAGATAGTTAGTGATATCAGGAGGCGATTTCGCCCATTTCAATATCACGTGTCCAGATCGAGCGTTCCTTAATTTTAATGTAGGCCTAACCCTCTGTTTTGTTTTGTTTTGTTTTTTTTTTGACTATCGTAGTTGCTTACTGTTTAGTAGCTAATGTCAACATTGCCCCCCACCTTTTAACCAGTCAGTGAAAACATCCAGTTTCTACTTAAAAATGGTGACAGAAGGGGCTGCCACTACTTAGTCATCCAACGCATTCCACGCGTTCACCAGTCTGCAAGTAAAAAATTCCCGTCTCGACCTGAGCCGCACCTGCGGTTTGCGCAACTTAAGTTGGCTACCTCTCGTTCTCTTGCTGCCATCAAACTGGAAAAAACCTTCCACACTCGACATGATGAATTTGGACTCCAATATGATTCTGCTTCCCCGCTCCAGATCCACATGGTAGTAATGAAATATACAAAAGCTAATGAAGCAAATGAAATGCTCCCCAAGGATTGCAAGATCAGTCCACTTGCTCCACAAGGACTTGGCTCAAGAGCATTACCCGCTCAGTAGCTCGAATGTGCCCCTTCTGGGTTGCTCCAGCTTTTGAGGTGCTCTCACTTTAAAATTCGACCAACCCCACATCCCTATTTCCTTCTGCCCCCTTAACTCTTACATTCTTGATTTAAAGTTCGAAATTCACAAACTTTGCATTTGATTTATTGGTGAAGAAAAAAATTGGGCCGATCTTTGAGTGGTAATGATAGACAATGTGGCAACCCTGACTGGAATGCCCTAGCTCATGCACTATCCCTTCGCCATTTTGTTCAGTCATCTGAGGGATTCTGGTTCGCCGGTTTCAGGTTCTCTTTTCTCCCATCCGACCCTTACGGTGAGAAAATGTTCGTCAGGATCCCCTCATCCATCGCTCGACAGCTTCCCAGACAGGTCACTGGCGCTGGAAAGAAATCGGTGAGCTTATATGCAAATCGATATGAGTTAACCTTGGTCCAAATGATGAGCCATTTCAGTGATGGGTTAGGGAGAAGCCTAAGCCAGCGAAGGCATATAAATAGGTCCGGGCCTAACTTTAGTTGCAAGTCTTAGGATTGCTGCATATATATATGCGCCTTACGTCATTCATTTGTTGTTCCTTTTTTAAAGGCGTTCACTTGCAGGCATGCTGTTATTTTTCTTGTATAAAATAATGATACTGTAGAAAGACAGTTCAGGATTACATATTGTCATACCCAAGTAGAACTTACCAGATTTCCAAATCTTCACATGTTGGAAAAGTCTTATTGTGTTGCTGTTATTTTTTTGGAATAGTGATGTGCTAACTTAGACTGTTCTTGCACTGTAAAGGCTTGTAGAACCCTGTAAACATTAAAAAGTTAGCCTCCTCATACTCCCAAGGTAAACCATTGCAGCCTCAGATCTTTTCCACTGTATAACTAGCATCAGGATTCCAAGTTTTTCAAGAGAGTTGTTGGAGGGTTCAAATCCCATAGTGACTGTTATCCTCACCCTAACCCTATTTTGGTGTCATTCCCCACCCCACTCAAGTGATTTTGTAGAGCCCACATTGGTAAGGGGTGGGGTTATTGTCCTGACCCATATATAAAGCAGGCTCCTTGCTCAGCACCCCCTTGACCCTTCTGCTGCCACGTCATTCATTTGAATTTCATAGATGCATTACTGCAGGATTTATATATTCTAGTGTGTTCCTGAAATTTTCAGACCCTGCCATTGAGGGTAAGGACATGTATATAAGTGGGACAAGTCATTTGTTTAGGCAACAGCTGAATGACTACTTCTGAATTGCAGGGGCCTACTTTTGGCTTCTTTGCCTGAGGTGTTAGAAAAAGCCTAGGACTAGCACATGTTGTTAAACAAAGGGGCTCAGTTTTCTTGTGTAGGCATCCACTCCTTTCCTCTCTTTTATGCCATGCATTTGTTGTCAACCTGTTCTTGGTTGAGTAAGGCCTAGATGTCTTGTCCCTGCTTATGATGCCTGGTTGGAGTCTGGCTCAATTTGTGTAGTTGGTGGAACTTTCTTGTGGTGTTTTAATCAAGTGCTACATCTCTGTTTGTGGTGCAGCATGGTCCAGGTCTTGGCTCTTGACTACTGAATGCAAGGTTGTGAAATATGGAATTGAAGGCCCAGTAATGGAGAGCTGATAGCATCTACAGATGTAGACCTAGATTAATTTTACCCCCATGGTATTTTCCTGATAGAAACAGGCCTTCCAAAGATAAGTTTTTGAACCATTTGAATGACTCCAATGATTAGCAAGGACCAGCATTTAATAAGAATATTCACTCAATTCACTGTGAGTCTAGTAGTAGGCAACAATTTCTCTTGAGCTCAATTCATCTTCACACAAATGTATAGGTAATGTAAGTTGACCTGCATTTTGAACCTAGCCTGGAACAAATATCTGATAGCTCATTTCTGGACAGGTAAAAATTGCTTTGGGCTAAAAGTGCTGCTTTTTTAAAAAATAGACCTGTTCTGCTTACAGTAAACCAAACGCATCCGGTTAACTGAGTGCGAGTAGAGTCACCTGGAATCTCAATTGATTGGGATTCCTATTATATATAATACACACGACACCCACTCCCCTAACCTAACCTGGCCCAACTTAAGGAGAAACACAATATCCCTAAGGGGTACAGTCACCTGGGCAACCCTACACACTGCGTACAGTTAACTGTGTCCGATGGGCAACTGTAAGTGGAATAGACCTATTTTCATTCATGGACAACATCTTGCTTTTTTGCTCCATCCACAGTTGTTTGCCTGTTATCCACCTCTGGTATAAGTGAAATGTGAATATAGGCCTAGGCAATGCCCCCATCCATAAGGCCTGAGTTAGTGATACCTCATGTTAAAACTTGTCTCCCCTTTCAGCTGCCAGTGTCAAGGAATGTGTTGGCTGCAGCATCCTTGCAAAAAAATGATGTCAGGAACATCTCCATGACGTCTAAGAGGTCTGCTGCTGAGGTCTCATCCATCTTGGAAGAGAGGATCCTGGGAGCAACATCTAAAATTGACTTAGAAGAAACTGGTAAGCCTCTTCCAATCATAGACCTAACATTCTAATTGCTTACTGAAGGCTTAGTAGCTTACATGAGATGCTTATGGCCCTTGCAACCTGCCATTCTCATTTGCTCATTGTAACTAGAGCCTGTGTGCCAGCATTAAATAGAATAAATTGTGCAGCTATGGTTTGTTGTCACTAACACTGTCAATCAATTGTGCTACCATGGCTTATATGACATCTTATCAGGTAAGCATCTCAGCTGATGGAATGGCCATACAGGATGTCACAGAAGTGCCTTTGATGTAGTGCATTATACCCACTTAGGAGGTTTTAACCTTTTTAAGATGTATGTGTCATACTATATTTCACATTTGAGTTAAAGAGAAAAGGAGTAAAGGGGGGGAGGAAAACAAATACCGGAATGAAACTCTCATCTTCAAAAAGCAAGATTGAATGATCTCAACAACCCCCAGGGGATGGAGCTTTACATTTCTGGGGCAATTCTGCATTGAAAGAGAAAGAAGTATGCCAAATTTTGTTAATGCTGATTCTCATAGAGGAATACAAGATTGTTGAATTTTGTTACTGGAAGGGGTTGAAAAAATGTAATAGGTGCTACATTGCCTAGTAATGTAAATTTTTTTGTGTCAGCTTTCCACATAAGACCATCTTTTCTTGTCAACTCTCTTCTAATTCAATGGGATGCTTGTCTACAACAGGTGGGTAATAAAAAAGAAAATGCATAGACATAAGGAATGGCCCTAGCTAGTTATTTTTGTTAACACAGGTTGCAGCTTCTTGAATCTGGGCTCCAATCATCCATATTAATTAGCAGATCAATATATTACTGGTGTTACTGCTATTCAATAACTGATGAAATATTATATCTCAAGTTTTGGTCAGTAAATGTCTGGCCTTGTGTAGGTATTTGCTGATACAAAAAGTATCTATAGTGGTAGGCTGCATCCCTCATCTTTGGCCTTTACAAATTTAGTGTTAAGGCTCTAACTCTTTGGTTTGTACTGATTTTGGAATCTGTGATGTAGGTCGAGTGTTGAGCATTGGTGACGGGATTGCTCGTGTTTATGGCTTGAAAAATATCCAGGCTGAGGAGATGGTGGAATTCTCTTCTGGTCTCAAGGTGAGCAATGTCATTTCTACATTTTCAATTCTGTTGCACAGTTCTTGAAAATGTAAATAGAGGCCAGCCTTAACCCTCCATTAGTCCTCCCACTTATCAGAATGCCGTTGGTCTTGTGGGGTTGAATCAACTCCTTGCCAGAAAAAAAAAGAATTTAATGCTAATTTTGAGAATTCTTTAAATGTAACGATGTCAACATATAAAATAAAGATGTGAAAACTCTCAGAAGTTCTAGGAAGGTACTGTAAACAACAAACGCCTCAGTGCTGCAATCTATCAGTGGCGTCATTTTTATTTCCGTGTGGGGCTCATTCAACCCTGGAAGGCTAATGGAGGGTCAATGATTTAGCCAAACCTAGCTACTTAAGACTCTAAACTATGGGTCTCATTTATTTGAACAGAACTAAGTTATGTTTTAAGAGATACAAAGCATGTGGGGGTCATCAATTAATCACACAAGGTTGAGGATTGCTTTCAAATGTCCTGTGAGAGAAGTAATGTGTAATTGAATTAGCCTGTGTGTTTTGAAGCCTACTGCAACTTCCAGAAGTGTATCCCCCTCCTGAATGATTTTTCCGTTTAAGGAATTTACATTATATTTTTCCTTATCTTACCTTAGGGCATGGCCTTGAACTTGGAACCAGACAATGTGGGTGTTGTCGTATTTGGGAATGACAAACTCATCAAGGAAGGAGACATAGTGAAGAGAACAGGTGCAATTGTAGATGTTCCTATTGGGGAGGGTCTCCTTGGCCGTGTTGTAGATGCATTGGGCAATCCCATTGATGGCAAGGGACCTATTGCATCCAAGCTAAGGTAGGTGTTTTGTGTCGTGTGGGTCCCTCTGAGCTGTCTGCAACAATTGGGACATAATTACATTGAAGTTTATGGACTTCCCATCCACTCTCTGCATGCTGGAATTGCTTTTTTTGAATTCTAGTTCAGATAAATGATTTAATTGTAAATCTCAAGGTTGCCAGCTAGCCCCTGTTGACCTATGCTTAAGACTGTGGACAGAGGAATTGATCTTGAGCTTCTTTATGCCCACCTATTTCTGTCCCTGCTTCTCCCCCATTATTCCTGTTCCACCGCCATCTTCAGAAGTATAAGTATACATACACTGGTCAAAATAATTACATAATTCTTTTACTATGGTCTGCTCTGTTCCAATGGTGAATGAATTAAGTTTGCCCCCATTCCATTCTATGTGAACAGGTACTGCCATTCTTCTGTTGGAATTGATGCAACATTATGTTGCTGCTGTCATTTAGATCAAAAGTGGTTCAATATAATGTTAAGTCCATACTGTCATTTGGCCAGTGTTGAGATCTGCTCTTGGTTTATAGTCATGTGCAAGAAAGTAGTTCCAAGTAATTCCAAGTAGAGAGTTAATTAGAGCTTATCTTTGTGTGAAGGCGACGAGTGGGGATGAAGGCTCCAGGGATCATTCCCCGCATCTCTGTGAGAGAACCTATGCAAACAGGGATCAAGGCTGTGGATTCACTTGTTCCCATTGGTCGAGGCCAACGAGAACTCATCATCGGTGATCGACAGACTGGGTGAGTTGTATTCTTATTTTCCTGTTGATGCTGAATGCTTTAGAGGCACATGATTTAACTGCTCCCCCCTTTTGTGGGCATTTCAGGAAGACAGCCATTGCTATTGACACCATCATCAACCAGAAGCGATTCAATGATGCTAATGAAGAGAAGAAGAAGCTCTATTGTATCTATGTGGCCATTGGGCAGAAGAGATCCACTGTTGCTCAGATAGTGAAGCGCCTTACTGATGCTAGTGCGTTGCTAGGGCCAACAATCCTGTTTTTCTCTACTTCTTTGTAGAAAATCCTTAATCCCTTTGATCTTGCTCTCCAGATGCTATGCAGTATGTGATTGTGGTGTCAGCCACAGCTTCTGATGCTGCTCCCCTGCAGTATTTGGCTCCCTATTCTGGATGTGCCATGGGAGAGTACTTCCGAGACAATGGGAAACATGCTCTCATTATCTATGATGACTTGTCAAAGCAGGCTGTTGCCTATCGTCAGGTCTGTGACAGATAAATCCTCAATCTCCTGTTCCTTCTTGTCCTTGTTCTGCTTTCCCACCCTTGGGAGGTAGTTGGACCAGCTTCTCTCTCCCTTCCTCCTTAATCTTAATTGTGGTTCCTAAATGCAATTTCTTCTGTGGTTTTGGAACATGACATCTGTATGTGATACATAGGCATCAGCAATCTGTGCCTACATACTATTGGAATATTGTACTACTTGTGCTACTGTGCAATTGATCAGTGCCTATCTTAATAATTCTGTTGTTTGTGTAGATGTCCCTTTTGCTGCGACGTCCCCCAGGCCGAGAGGCTTATCCCGGTGACGTGTTCTATCTGCATTCCCGTCTCTTGGAGAGAGCTGCCAAGATGAATGACCAGAATGGAGGTGGATCCCTTACTGCCCTTCCTGTCATTGAAACTCAGGTTGGACCATTCTAACAGTGCCTATATATTTATACTTACATCATTGTGTAACTTTTTTTGTTCTTTTCTGCAATTGTATCATTATATTTTGTAGGCAGGAGATGTGTCTGCATACATCCCAACCAATGTCATCTCCATTACCGATGGTCAGATCTTCTTGGAAACAGAATTGTTCTACAAGGGGATCCGTCCAGCCATCAATGTGGGTCTCTCTGTGTCCCGTGTTGGAAGTGCTGCCCAGACACGAGCCATGAAACAGGTCTGTTTAACACCCTGTGTCTCTCTTACATTGCATTATGAATTTCATATATCCTGCATGTTGACTGCAATTTGTTCCAATTTTACCTTCACTGAGGTCCTTTGTCATGGGTGAATCTCTTGTCTCTTCTCCTTTGTCAGGATATGAACATGCTCATGATAGCTTTTTGTGAGAGTTCCATGCAGAGTTGTAAGGGCTAATGTTTTTCCTGTTATAAGGAAGTACACTTAGATTGGGATGCATATCATTATTAAATGACAGGAGTCTCACAGATGTTCTTTAAGCTGAATGAACTTGGATGAGCTCTTGAAGCCTGGCTGCATGTGCATACCCTCTACAAAGATTCTGAGGAATCACTTTGTGATTCTGTGATATCTAGGTTGCTGGGAGCATGAAGCTTGAATTGGCCCAGTACCGAGAGGTGGCAGCATTTGCCCAGTTTGGCTCTGATCTGGATGCATCCACTCAGCAGCTTCTCAATAGAGGAGTCCGCCTCACGGAGCTGCTCAAGCAAGGGCAATATGGTTAGTTTGTTGAAAAACTTGTAAAGAAGACTCATCATCTGACTTGAATGTCTGTTAACTTTCTTTTGGTCTTTGCTTGTGCTGCTGCAGTTCCAATGGCAATTGAAGAACAGGTTGCTGTCATCTACTGTGGAGTGCGAGGCTTCCTTGACAAGTTGGACCCATCCAAGATTACTACCTTTGAGCGGGAATTTGTTCAGCACATCAGGTGAATCCTGCGCTATTCCATGCCCTCTTAGTTGTTCCTTTTGACTTGATTATTGACCTTGGATCATGTTTTTCTCTAGGACAACACAACAGGACCTATTGGCTGATATTGCCAGGGAGGGGAAGCTCACTGATGAAACAGAAGGGCAACTCAAGAAAGTTGTCACTGATTTCGTTAGCTCCTTCCAAGCATAGATTCCCCCAATCATAGAGAGAGAGCAGAGGAAGATTGTAACATGAATCCCTATTTACATTGTTCATTTGTTGCTTGCTGAGGTGTCCACTTGGCAAATGTAAGCATGGTTTGGTAATACAGTGCAGTCTGTCTTGAGTAACAGTTTTATTGCTTGCTAGTCATGGTTTAGATATTTTTAAACTCATTGTATGACCCTTTGAATGGGTCACCAAAAAAAGATGAAAAGAAAAAAAAAGTAAACTATCCTTCATCTGAAGTTCAGAGGAAGAGAAAATTTTGTCCACGTGATGGTTCTGGATTACAGATTGGCTGACTGACCTCTTGTTCTTTTTCTCATTCCCTTACCCCACTGAAGGAAATTCTTCGAGTGCTGCAATATGCCTTCTTTTATTCAGATGTTTCCTGGGAACCAGTTATTTTCACTAGTTGTACCAAGGTAGTCTCTACTTGAAATTCATTTTACAGACACCATCATGATATTGTGATACCATCAGGAAGTCAGTACTATGGTCAGTGATATATCACTATATATTTTTTGGTCATATGAATTTCTTTCATTCTGTGGGAATTGTCAACTGTCCTACTTGGCAGACCTACTTACCATTCCCAATATTAGAGTTGACATAAATTAATGCCTCTCAGCAAAAACTATCCAGCTGTCCATGTGCTGTGCCCTTTGCCCACTGAAGAATCAGTGCTCATTGGCAAAATCTTGAGACTGAAGTAATGGAAGCAATTTATATTCAAGGTTAATTGGATTGGTTTTTCTTATGTTTTTTTTTTCCCCTTTTGAATGCTTGGATTTGATGAGCATCATATCAGAACCATTTACACCTATAGCCCTACGAGTCTACATTTTTTATATAATCCTAATTATTCTAATGTTTTTAAACCATGTCAACTTTGCTATCATATTTTAAGCATAAATTATAAAACAAATTATATTAATCTAATCAATAGACACATCCTACATCAGCTAACTTTTGGTATCTGCATTTAAGAGGGGCTAGGACATTAGTAACCTTTTTTTTACATGTAAAATCAAAAAGAAAAGAGGAAGACATCTTGACCCAAGGCAAAATTTATGTTTGCAGAGATTCTCACATCTGAAGGCTGGGACATGTAGGCACTTGCACAGGGCAGCAAGAACCTCTTGCTTAGGAAGCAAGAGGTACCTCCGTGCTCTTTGTTGCCTTTATTTTTTACCGTTTCGAAAGGCTGGGGGCTCCCTTAATTGGAAGGATTACTGAAATCCCCTATGTGAAGTATTGGGTGGTGCATAAAAAAATGCGCCGAGGATTTAGCGCTTATTTCTCAACTTCCCGATAAGGCAAAGGCGAACAAATCATACCACTTACACATCTTTCCTCTCCGACCCAGGAAAATTGAATTAATACCTTCAAGAGTACACCCACAATGGCTTTTCAACTATGACACCTCGAAATGTTTCTTCTCGCGCCGAAAAATGTTCAAAGGGTCTTCCTTTGGCGTTGCCTACGGCATGCAGCCTCGCTTTCGATTAAGTAATGGACTGGCGGGTCTCCAAGGCGATCTCATTCCAAGCCTGTTGAATGTTGGCTCACTTCGACCTTGGAATGATCCATCTTGGATCACTCGACCCACCAGCTTCACTTTTAGCGTCAAGAAAGACGTCAGCCTGACGTCATACTGCTCGCGTGCAATAGCCCCTCCTTAAGAACTGCATTATTAAGTATGGTTTTTAACCCTTTCGTGAGCAGTGGGAAGTATTCGCGGCAAAGTTTCGACTCTCCCAGTGTCCTGGGAAGACTTCCTTCCACTATATCATACTCGCATCATTACTGGTGACCAAGATAACTCCTCGTGAAAATTTTACCTGGTGCCCATGAGGCCTGTAGAGAAGCCATTTTGGGGAAGATATGTGACCGGTTCAGGCAACACTTACAAAAAGCAAGAAATATTTCCTATATTTTCTTTTACATCATTAGAGACTATTTTTATGATAGGTCAGCTCTCAGTAATGTATGTGTATATACAGTAGTTTATAATACCGAAAATTTACCTATATACCAGCAGGTCATATAGGTATACGTGTACTGAATATAGACATATACCTATACAAACATGAATTTTTTTTATTTTGAGAATGCCTGGAATTTCTCAAAACGAAAGCCTCCATAAGTGGAAAAAGAAAATGTACTGAATTTTGTCAATTTCATTTAGGAAGAAATTTGACCACGAAGGGTTAAAATAAATTTTTAATGCGACTTTGACCTTAATTGATGACAAAAGTGATTTTGTCCATGTTGAGCTCGTACCAGCGTCTGCCAAAAAAAAAAAAGTTACAGGCCTGGTTTTTGGCGGCACCTAGTGAGCAATTTTTGTACTACATTGCCTGACATTCGTCAGTAGATGGCAGCACAAGCTTGGGCATGAGACTTCCACCTCTGAGCCATTCGTATTTCTAGATGCCGTTAAATAGTTTTCCCCTGAAAAGTAAAGGGTTAATGAGAATTGAAGGACCTAACTCTTGCTTTGACTTGGGTTAATATACAAGGGTGAGTCAAATGAAAACTGGAAATGTCATCGACGATTGCGGCGCACGAGGTATGGGTAAGTCAGTGGCGTATTTTACGGGGGGCAGCCGCCCCCCCTGGCGCCCCCTTGGAGGTAATAATATCCCCACCTGGTATCGCTCGGGTGCGGTTTGGCGCCCCGCGCTGTTGCCCTGACCCCTCAGCCAAAATACGCCGCTGGTAACAGTAGGTCATACTCTAGCATTCGGTCGGGTTGCAACATAAGCAAAGCTCGCAATTTAGATGATGCTGCCATCCGTGGCCATTGTACGTAACTTTCAAGATGGCAGCAGTTATGAAGGGCACCAAATAATGCGTCCAGTGATCCTTTGCTTGGTCGCAGAGGGCACAAATGGCATCAAAATACATCGTAGATAGCAAGCAGTGTATGAAGACGATTGTACTGCCAGAAACAATGTATGTGTGGGTTCGTAAGTACCAATTCCTTAGGAACTTCCTTCGATTGCCAGTGGCAATCGTGCACGCAAACGAATCTTAGTCTTTAACCCTTTCGTGGGGAAATTTTTTCTAATGCGCAAAATGACGAATCCCGAATTTTTTTCACATAGAGACTTATTTTGAGAACTTTTATTTCCAGACTTTCTTCAAATATAAAAATTATCCTATTTGTGTTGGGAATTATTCTTCCCAATTTCGTTTCACAAATTCATAACATTGCTGACATTGTGGTTCTAAACATACACAACCTTCCACAAAGCAGTCGAACATACGATTAGTCATTAGTCGATAAGGGATCCCCAAATGTTTACGAGGAATTAAATCGTTTGAAACACAACGGAATCCTTATGTATTCCGTTGTGTTTCAAGTTTCCGTCTTATGTATTCTCTGCTTCTTGAAAGTGTTGCTCGAACAGGTTGCATGCTTCCATATCTGCTCCAAAATGGCTTCCCTACAGGCCTCACGGGCGCCTCGTGAAATTTGTATGGAGTTGTCTTGGTCTCTGGTAGATAGTGCGGATGTTATATAGTGGGAAGAAGCCTTCCCAGAGTAATGGGAGGGTGAAAAGTTTGCTGGGAAGAATTATTCCCAGTGCTCACGAAAGGGGGTTAAGCAAAGGTTAGCTTGGGCTTTTTGAACTGCCTCGTTCACACTGGAGGTTTTCCAGACCCGGACTGAAATTCTTGCTGGCTACAATACTCGTCACTGGCAATACCATAGCAAGTTCAACCACAGGTTCATAAATGCGTTCATGAGCGGAGTGGGTATGGCCGTTGACATGGCCTTGAAAGCGAATACCCTCGTCTCCAAAACCATAAGAGCTACACCCGAACCTCTTTTTGAGAAAGAGATTTCCATTTCCCTGAACTCTATTTACGCAGCTTTGGTGTTTCTTATACAAATGTGCCGCGTGAGCACCACCTAGTGCTCTGGTATGTAACTATCCCAGTGAAGGATCAACTGAAGCTGCCAATTCTCACACTCTCCTAGCCAACAACTTTCGCTCCTCTGGGTTTACATGGCAGCTCCAAAATCCTGTCTACCCAGTAGACCTCTCACAAACTGTTACAGGAGTTGATTGATCTGTACCTTGACAGTGCTTCCCGGAGCTGTCCACATCTTTGCTGCCTCTTCAAAGCCAGCAGCTTCCAAAGTGCCTTGGACAGCTCCTCAGCAAAGATGAATGCTTTGCATTCTGCCATACTCGACACAAGGTGGCATCGGTAGCCATGCTCATCCATATCTCCAATGCACAGCTGTTCTGGACGAATTCGGCCGATCACCCCCTGTGCCTCAAAGTTTCATGACGGGAGTCTCTTGCTCTAAGATCTAATTCCCAGTGAATGGGGCTCAATGCACTCACACCCTTCCATCTAGGGTGAGGGGGAAAAGTGGCTGGTAACAGCCACTAAAGACAGGAATGCATGTTGACTGCTTCTGTTTTCGAAGGCAAGGAAGAAAAAAAAGACATTGTTCCTTGTATCATTCGCAATCCAGAGGAGAATGAACCTTTGCCTACAACTTTAATTTGCACAGCATGATGACTCCAGGTCCAGCCTTGTGGAACAGCAGCAGTCATACCCTGACGAGGTGCTAACATATCTACCATGGGAGCAGATTATTCATGAAATGTGAGGATAAATTCTGGATCCTCGGTGTATGTACCGCAGGTAAGTGAGAAGTGTGGATGCTTCGATTAAATATCATTATTTTCCCTGGAATAAAGCTGCATTATCGGATAGTTCTCTGTTCAAAAATCCACCCTAGGAATTCAAGCAAAGATAGGCATGTGCAAGCAAATGATTCCACCGAAAAACAGTACGAAAGGCGAAATTAGGTGCCTTTGATAACTGTAGCCATAAGGTTTAGAGAGAATGTCTGGCAGGCAAGACCGTTGAACATTTGGACTTAACAGTTTCTCATAACCCCATAGCTATTTTTTACAGCTAAATTTCAGTCGATGGAGCATGATTTCTGGACACTTCCTAAAATAGGAAACCACAGAGGCTGCGAATGCTACCAGCCTCCAATAATGACTCGAAAAACCACAGAAGACGGACTATTTAAACATACTCGGATAAAGACGTTACATATCTAGAAGTTCCCTCAAAGTTACCATTTCTCTCAGTCTGTCACGGTCACATACGCGAACGTAAGTTGCAAGAATAAAAATCACAAAAATTTTTTCTTAAGTTTTTATTTTAATTTTATTTACATTTAAAAGTGATGAATTTATGCCCTTAAAATGTAAAGTATTACACATTTTTGACAGGGAACAGGCTCCTCTGGGAATTTTCTGAACACATCCTATTCTCATATATGTTAAAATCCCCAGAAAAGTATGAGCATGACTTCCAACAAGAATCAGCCTACAAAAAGCCTCACGTGAAGAAAAGCTGAAGTAATTCTACGAGTCCCAAGAAGACCTGCAGGTTTTTCTGATGGCTTTCACTGCCTCGCTCAGGGTAAACTCTTATAGGCAGCTACATCTGCCAAGTACAGCCAGAATCTGACCGATAATATCTAACCGAAGAAGAGCCATAAAAAGTAACTGATGTCAACTGAATTACAGGCAAATTACAAGTAGAAGCAACTAATTTTATTCTACTTTATTGAGGCTAAGAGAGTGAGATCATAAACCTTTCATATAGTGCAAGCACCAGTGGAATCCACACACTTGAGTTTAAATTAATAAAAAAGACATTCGTTCAAATTAAATATATCTGTGACTGGATCTAAAACCAACAAAATATCCAAATAAAACATAAATTTTAAAAAATAAAAAAAGAAGCGGGTCAGATCAGACTTCTTCAGTGAAATACGCGCGGTGATGCTTCTGTAAATGCTTGATCATGTTCGATCGCCAGGCGAAGACCTTGCGACACGTTGGGCAGGGGAAGTTCTGTGGAGGTCCATGCACCTTTTGATGCGCCTTCAGATACGACGACCGCGTGAAAGCCTTCCCGCACTGATAACACGGGAAATACCCAGGGTTCACATGTTCACGCATGTGAAGGAAGTAAGTGGTACGAATGGCAAATCGCTTGTCACATTCCGAGCATGTGTAGCGAGCTTTGTTTCGGCTGTGCTGCACAACATGGTCCTTGAGCTTGTCCTCACGTATGAATCCCCGCTTGCACACTTTACACTGGTACGGCTTCTCCATGTTGGGGGCATGGAGAAGCTGATGAGCTTGGAGGTTACAGCGATGCGTGAACGTTTTCTGACACATGGAACACTTGAACTTCTTAGACCCATGAGAGCGCATGTGAAGGGTGAGGTTCTTCACCATCTTGTGACAGACGAGGCATTTGCGTCCTCCGAGACTGATTGCCTCCTCCGAATCCGGGTGGGACACCCGGTAATGCCGATTCAGGGATCCCTTGTGAAGGAAACTCACCGAACACACCTTACAGAAATGCCGAATTCCTTTATGCACCTCCTGGTGCCACTCGTAAGCACCCTTGGTCTCAAATGCCTTCCCACATTCGCAATAGAAGAAGGTCTTGTCGCGAGTCTTGGAGTAGTGTCGGTTCACATGTCGCTGGAGGTAACTAGGGCCCTTGAATGTGGCATCGCAGAGGTAGCATTCATAACCTCCTCGTTGGCAATGGGTATACATGTGACTTTCCAGACCGTGCTTCCATTTGAAGGACTTGTCGCAGTATTTGCATTTGAAGTTCTTCGGCCCGTGGACGTATCGCAAATGATTTCGCATATATTTCTTCTTGGCAAACACTTTCTCACATGTAGGGCAGCTGTGAAGCTTGACAGGAGACTCCTTTTCTTCCAATACGATTTCTTCTTCCTCCTCATCATTGCCTCTTCCTTCTCTGTCAGAATCTCGATTGACATCGTCACCAACGAGCGGATTCTGTGGGGGGAGGTCATAAGAAGAGGGTTCGCCATCGGATGCCACTGATTCCCGATCACCATCCGACCATGCTAAGTCTTCCTCCTCCATTTCTCCCTCTTTCTTCTCCACTCTCCCTTCCTTGTCCCCCGCAACTTTCTTTCTCGACATTCTCTTGCTCAATATCTGCTTCCCAGTGAGCATACCTTTTCGCTGCTTACTAGAAGAGTTCGCTGGACTTTTCTTGATCTTCAGATCCTTTGGGGGGACATCTTCTCTCTCACTCGGATGAGTCCGAGGTCGCAGTTGCCTTCTATCGGTCATCGTTTCACCTCGGACTTTAGTCCCCGTTTTTGGGGTTCCACATTCTCTAATTGAAGTCGATCGAGCCATGACTTCAGTCCCATCTTGAGTCTTCGATGACGGACCCGGTTCCACATCTGAAGCAGGGGGTTCATCAGTCTCGCGACCCTCCTCAATGATGTCATTGGTCGTGTCTAAGTCCACCATCTCGAGAACGACCCGCACATATTCGTACTCATTCGCCTCTTCGTTCTCCGACCTTTGTGCTTTCCCATCTTTAACTGGGGTACACTCGTTCCCACTGGTGACGGAATCACTACAGAGGTGTTCATCCTGATCTTCGACAATGCTAATGTCCGTACAAGGGCCGCCGGAACGATCGTTCTGGTTTGCATCTACTTCGGCATGAGGACTGGAAGGAGGAGAAGGTGTTCTCCCGTCCTGGATGTATTGTGGGAGATCAGGTTCAACCAAGATAGGACTGGATGAGGTGGCCACACGATGTCCCCTTAGCATATTAGTCACATAATCCTCTATCTCTTCCTCTCGCAACATCTCCTTTCCCCCGTCCTTATCCCCGCTCTTTCCATTCTGTTGGTACGATTCTGACAGTTGCTCAATGCCCGACTTGCTCCCATTCCCGGTGTTACCAGATTCCTTATCACTGTTCTCTTCATCACCACCTCCATCGTCAGTGAGAATCCGGTAGGGCGTCTCTTCCCGCACGAATTCAAGGGTTCCATCGGGATTCACATGACACACAAGCCCTGAAAATATGCTCTCTTCTGTTTCCGTAGAATGAGAAGTCATCGACGCCTCTTCCTGAGTGCCATCTTCTTCCTCTGGAACTGGATCGTCTCTATCTTCAGTCGATTCCACACAATGATAAACTTCACTTTCAGTCATTGACGACAAGGAAGCATTGTCTGGAGTTGTCCATGGACTGTGGCTAGGCATGGTCAAGGGCAAGGGCACGGGGTACGATAATGACTGCATCTGCACAGCTGGTTGTGAGTAACAGGCGCCAGGAGAAAAGGGGCCATTCATGCATTGAGGCATCATGTAAGGATACACAATATATGCAGGGCGACCACCCACCATAGTGGGCATCATCATGGGAGGCATGAAGCATGGCATCGATACACCACCATAAGGAGCCATGGGCACCATCATTGGCATTGCACTTGGATTCATGACCTGCATTTGTTGCTGTTGGACTGCCGGCACGAATCTTGGTTGAGCATTGGGAGATGCCTGCTGCCTTGTGAGAGATGAAATCAAATCTTCCTTGGTGTGCGATTCCAAATGATGTGCGACGGCATTTGGTGAGTCTGCAGGGATCTGAATCCCACATACGGAGCACATTGAGTCAATCTCCATCTCCGATTCTACCTGACAGTTCATCATCTTCCTCTCTGCTCTATTTCCATCCCTTTTCGCTAGTTCATATCAAATCCTGGTAGTGAAACCCTGCAGCCCACATCTGTTAGTAGATCAAAAAATGTAACAATAAATAAACAGGAACTGGACACAGGTACATGTATCAACAACCAAACACGGACTGTAAACTGGGATAATGCAAGAATCGCATAAAACTAAGGCTGTCAAATTTAATCTAGATAATTTATTTGAATTTTAATCAACCCTTAAGTCTCTCTCAGAATGTTTTTTTCTTCAAATTTCAAAGCATAATGAACGTTTTTGTCGAAGAGCCGAATATTAATCGGATTCTGGTCATTATGACCAGAATCCGATTAAATGGTGACTTGTAAAAGATAGTCATACTTGAGGGGTCCAATCTTCAGCAAATAAATATACAACTTTTCTTTTTAAATGTATAGCACAAGAATGAAGGCCAAGCCCGAGTAATGAATGATGCAGAACAAGGGGATGTCCTCTCGAAGAGATTAAAAAAGTAAACAGTTTCCAGTTAACCCATTCGCATCCAACGACGTAATAGTACGCCATTAGACGGGAATGGGTGAATTCTGAGGGGTTACTGCTGTTCTACATTGCCGCAAAACGTGCAGAGGGAGGGGAGGGGGTTGCGTAAATTTGAATCAACATTGAGCTTGACGGAGACAATAATAGGGAATAGTTCATCCTGTCTGCTCTCCGCGGGCATCCAGACAGCAAACAGCTCGTAAAAACCTACATACGAACATTTGAATCGCCTTCTTTTCCTTGAGAATGTGGCTAAATCTGGCAGCAAGAAATGCTACGGTGTCCGGACACGCAGATAAAACTTGGCGTGAATTTTACTCGCACACTCGGGTGAAGCGCATTCCTATAAACTGTATTCCAGGTGCCATCCAAGTCCTACCTTACCTGGATGACGGTTTTCCCATCAAAGCCTGGAAGTAAATGCCTGAACAGGGCGGAAAAAATCCCCTCGAGCCTGCTCCAATCAGGTCTGCTTCAGTGTACGCGAATACATTGAAAGCAGATGAGGTATAACACCGAGAGGTGTGGGCGAGGGAAGGGGGTATCCAAATATTACATAGACATCAGGTGGCTTTTCGTGGCAGGGGAATATGGATTTGACATAGGGAGTCCCTGTCAAATTCCACCCCTAATTAAATAAAGTACTGTATATGGCTGATTCCCTAATAGGGAAGTATAATATATAATATAGTATATAGTAATATAATATAATAATAGGGAAAAGTTATTTAGTTTTTTCCTCCCACTCTAGTTGAAGGTGACAGCTGAAAACAAAAAACCAGGAGAGCAAGGGCTTCACTATAAGTTAACTTATTTATCCCAACACTTTTTGCAGCTTGTGAACTGACCAAAACCTCATTCCATTAAAATTGCAAAAACATCCTTACTCTGTAATATCCACATATTCACTTAGAAGTAATCTTTATGAAATAAGCATACTTTTTAAATATTTTGCTGATCATTGCTGTAATTAACAATGGTTGCTTAATTCTGATAAAATAGTCAAAATTCAGGTAGCAAAATAATAAATTATATCAAACATGAAAACAAGGATTGTGCTGAGAGCTATACACCTGAGAGGATTCTTGATTCTTGATTGAGTCATTCATTCAAGTATGCCTCAAGAACTTTTACTCATGGTGCCTTCTTCAGTCTTTAATCATAGGGGAAAGACTGTTTTCCAGTTGGACAGAGTTATCAGGAATCTCAACCCTGTCAATTTCAAAGTTATCCAATGCTAGAGAAAAAAGTAAATATTGATGAAAATGAGCTCAATAATTAGACCTGAATAATTTCAGACCTGAATTAAGGCCAGTATCAGAATAATATCCCTTTTTGCATTTTTGAGCTTTTTCATGACTGTAATGGAAATTTTCATGCATTATATGTAGTTTTTATATTTTGTATAAATTTACCATATACCATATATGATATATTATACTTTTAGTTAAATAACTGAAGATTACAAAACTAATGGATGAAAGAAAGCCTTTGATAGAAGTGAGCCATGCATAATTGCACCCATTGTAGCATAATTTGGAGTGCAAAGTCACAAGAATCCCAAGAAATTGCCATAGACACAATGTAAATGCAATGTCCATTGGAATGGAGAATGGATGCCAGGTCTGAAAGGGTTAATAATTACCAATCTTGTAATCACTCTGATAGTCATTGGCTACAATCCCTACCACCATATTGTTGAAGGACATGTTACACTACCTAATTCAACACAGGAATAACACAAGCACAGTTTGATATACATGGTAGTCAAAAAAATGTTACCACTAACAGAATAAGCAATGCAAGTTCAGAAAGTTAGACCATACTTTACTACCAAGTTTTCAGAATAAAATTACATGCATTAATGTACATTTAAATGAGAACATAACCATAAATACAATGACATTGCAACTGAAGTTGAAATTTGAAATAGAAACTGCCATAACAATATATCATGTATCAGTGAATAATAATAATAACTCAAAATCAGTTCTAAGTTTTCATTGAATGCATTCTCAAACAATTTTTTGTAAAAATATTTGCCACAATGAAGGAAAGAAAGAAATGGTAGGACAGAAACTCCTGGCCTAGCCAACTAGGGTCTCTGGCTAGGCCAGGATCACAACCTTGAAAGGATCACAACTATTCCACATGGCTATGCTCACACAGTCAATATGTGATGTAAGCATGTCCATTGGGTGCATATGGGGGAGTCCAAAATAAGAATTTTTCTAAAGTACACCTACAGAATAGCATGAATGAACTTCCTGAACAGAAGAGAATGCCATTTAAGGTAAAGTTAGATTATTGCTTTTCTGAGAAACAGCAGCAAATTTATTGGTTCCACATGGTTCTGGTGGCAATGAAGTATTTAAACAATAGCACCATGATCAAATTAGACCTACCTGATTGTAGAAAGCATTTCATTAACTTAATCTAGAACCACCATCACAGATTACATCTAGGCTTTAAGTGAAGTCAAAACTGGATTTATGACTTTGCCCAGATTTTTAAATTATTGCTGGTGAAGGGGATGGAGTAAAAAATTAAATTTGTTTGTACAGAAGTATGAAATCAACTTTAATTTTCTGCAAAGTTTAAATCTCCACTAGAATTCTTCAGCTAGACCACAGCTGTTAACTCAGATCTATTCCAGCTGATATCCAGCTACTTTTGCTGGCTGTTTCCAGCTGAGGATCTTCCAGCTACAACTATACCTGAACTCTGCTAGGAAACAACCAACAAAACCATTCTCAATTCAAATATGAAATTTCAGCTGGAAATTAGCCTATATCTAGCTTCATTATCCAGTTACTTCTTAGCTGGAATGGCTCTGTATTTGCAGCAGTGGTCTATTAGGAAATAATTGATGTTTCAAATTGTGAGTTTTAACTGACAGTCTCCAATCAAGGGCCATCCATAACCTAAGACTAGGCCAAGCTCATCATACGCCAACACGCAGTTGCTATTGCAGTAATCGAAAGACCTGATCATACACTGTGACTTACAAAGGAATTCATACTACTTCTTACTTTGTGTATGCTATAACTTTATATTTCTGAGCGTGCCCAAGAGGAGAGGGTACATCTCCCACTAGAGTAATGTCATTAGGCCAATGGAGCCCATGTAATGGCTGGCAATTTACAATCAAATCACTGCAAAACTTTCAGTTCTACATCGAGATCAAAACTGCCAGGAAGCAGTTTAAAACTTAAAATTCTATCACTAGTTCACATTATACCATGGAAGGAATTCACACATGAGGAGCTCGTGAGTCTATATAGCCATGTTGGATGACGTCACGTTTGACGATAGCGGCTGTCGTCTGCTCTACACAAGCACAATCGTATGTTCTATAGGCTCCTTAAGTGCACTACATAAAACCACCGCAAATGTCCCGACTATTAGATTTCTCGGTAGTAAGCCTAATCCGAAGAGACAGAAGGGGAGGAATTTAATTTTGGCAAAGATTTCAAGTAGGGCGTTGCGGTTTATAGGTATTTTCATCACACCGCACCGCACACCGTTGAAAGGGAAAGGGAAAACTCGGGCCCTTGTAATTGTCGGTGACTCGAACGTCAGGCGTCTTGAGGGAGCGATGGAAAAAGATTCAGGAGCTCAGGTTTCTTTCAGTCAGTTTCCCGGTGCTAGGATCGAACACATTAGGGATAGGATCGGATCGGTGGTGTGCTCCGAGTCGGCCGAGGAAGTGTCGGTGGTCCTTCACGTAGGGACCAACGATACTCCTAAGTCTGGCTCTGAACTAATCATGGGCAGGCTGAGGCAGACTATTAGGGCGTGTCGAGAGGCAATGTTGGGGGGTGCTGGTGACAGTATGCGCGATCCCGAGCCGGCTAGACAAAGGAGGAATCACGTGGTCCAGATCGGAAGGGGTTAACGACAGGTTGAAGAAGTTATGTATCGCTGAGAGGGCAATGTTTCTGGACACTAGGGAAGCTTTGAGTCGCTGTAGAAGTCCGACGGCTAGGGATGGAGTACATTTTTCGAACGAGGGAGCTGTAGCAGTCGGATTGGCTATCATGAAGGAAAATTAGCCTTTTTTAGGGTTGTAGATGGGGGGGGGGGGGTAAGGAAGGACAACCAAGGGACAGCCACGACGAACAACTTTAGACCGCCGCGTACAGGTATGCAGGAAAGGCAGGGAAGAGTCAAGTGTTTCTAAGCAAATGCACGCAGCTTACGTAATAAAATAGACGAGCTCAAGGGGCGGGCACTAGACAACTCACAGGGGGCGGGCAATGTCATCGGAATAACCAAGACTTGGGGAGGTTCTCACATTTCCGAAAAGGAATTCAAGATAGAAGGGTACGACATCTTGCGGAGGGATAGACTCGGCAAGAAAGGGGGGAGGAGTCGTATTGTACGCTAAAACCGAACAAGGCCCTCACGTCAGAGAAGATCTCACCTCGGCTAACTATGAAGCAATCGAACACTTATGGTCGAAACGTCGATCGTAACACGGTATGTCTCTCGACACGTTCGGCGATGTTAAATTGTATGAGGCAAGCGGAGAGTGAGATTTAGGAGTTTCTATGAACGAGGACCTCGCGTATTCCTCGCACGCGCAAGCGACGGTGGCCAAATGCAACAAGATTCTTGGTTACCTTCACCGTTCGGTTGCAAGTATGACATCGCACGTTATTTCGTCCGTTGTATGCGGCGCTGATAAGACCCCAGTTGGAGGGGTGAGGGGACGTATCATGATGATACGTCAAGTGCAAGATTGATTGTCATGATATCATTCATGCATGAACCCTTTCACATTTGACTTCATGAACTTTCGACACAATAGAACAAAG